CTCAATTTTTCGCTTCTAAGAATTGATTATTTCAAAAAAGGAAAGTTCTTCTCCAAAAGAAATGCAGTTCACAACACATGGTCTGGAATTTCGCTGTCCTGAAATTCGCAGCTGATAGGGTCCTGCTGACTTGCATTGTAGGTGAGTTTCGCATCTAACTGCTTGTGTATATAACGCAGCTGGAAATGCCACCATCTTCCATGGCGTTTCTACGTCAATGCTATGAAGGACCCATTCGGCAAAGGAGACCGTTCAGAACGTTAGTCTGTTTAGATATCTTAGATCAGTGATCTTCACGATTGCGTCATCCAATGATAATTAAATAGTAAGATCTCATTAGTTCTCACTGGATTTAGCAAAGCACTCGATATTTGTACTGAGAGAGGAACAACCTTGACTACAATGATGCACTTGTACCTTGTTTTTCTGTCAGGTGTGGAAACTATGGTTTTAATGAAAAACCAAATACCCGCGGTTAAACGACACGTCACACTACCGAATTAGGCGCATATTGATAATTAGGTGGGTTGAATGATGTAAGGAATAATTTTACCCCATTTCTGTCACAGATGACCTCCGTAGATATGTAGATAAAAGAAGGAAGATTGACTGGTTGAACATAAACTCTTCACTGCAGCCCACAATGTCCTCATGTCAGAATCGAAATGTGGCTAACGTCAACTAAAAGGCCAGCATGCATCATGGATGAACACGGTAAAGGCAAATGTACTTCAGAAATTACCTGTTGCGACGCTGTAGCTGCAATTTTATGTAAAAATATTTGAAAAGCTCGGTAAATTTCTAATATCACATAAAGGAAACATTCTGTTCTGCTTCTCATGGTGCTTCAGGCGGATGCAAATTGAAGCTTCGATAATTTTCGAACATACTCAGATTGTTGTACTCGCCACGTCATCATAGATTAGGCATATTGGTGTAGATCCATACTGTAAGGGTGACGGGTTCGACTCGGAGAAAGGGCAATCTATGTTTTAATCGTGAATTCCATTGAGCAAGGGATTTATCGAATGATGCTCCGGAGCAGTCTGCTGAGAGACATGTTTCAAGTCGTTAATGACAAAAACAGCATGGCATTCTGATGTGATCATGCTAGAATTGGCAGATGTATGGCCAGGACAGCTAATACGGGCGCTTTTGGCTACGCTTCGCTTTGACCCACCTGAGAGCTGTCAATCTAATGCGAAGCGTAACCCCTCAAAAACGGCATATGACACTCCCATCCAAGTCGGCTGCTTCAAAACATATATCAACTCTCCGTCATAAATAATAATAAAGATGTGCCACAAATGGTGGCCATTAATTAAAAGTTACAATGTCATCCTTAGAAATTTTCGTTGGACGCTAAACATTTTAAAAATTTATGTAATATACTCTCAGTAGTAGCAAGAAATGGACTGTGCCATAAAGCACAATTTTTAGATTAAGACATATTACATGCAATGATGGAGGAGGGCGAGTGTGCGAAGTGCCCCTTTCTGCGAAACTGTTTGCCAACAGCCGACAAATATATTTTTCACATTTACGAGCTGGAGTTGACATCGGACATGATTTTTTTTCAATAAGTTTCATATTAATTATACACCATGCCTATGCTATAGCATGTGCAATAAATAAACCCTTAAAACAAGGAAGAAAACTTCTAAAAGAAGCGTGGCATGAATAATATGAAATGTATTGAAAATCTAAGCTATTAAATTAAGCTCATTTAACGGGATAGATTTGATAGTGCGTTGGTTGGCACATTATAGCCAGTCTTGGTAGCAGTTAACAACGGTCAGATGCAGAAATTGCTGATAAATTCAGAAACAGCGAGATAAATTCGATATTATTTCCAATCAACGTGAAGACCTGTCATAAAGCCTAAAACATCAGCGAAAGAAGTATTAAACATCATAAGTTATTCACATACCAGAGAATGTGAAGTATTGCATGGCATTATAAACACTAGTTTTCACGACGCATTGCATCAGCCTGCTTTAGCTGCCTTGGGAGCCAGTTAACTAGGTCACTGCCCCATACCTTTGATACATGCGATGACGACTACGTCTCTCTCTCATCTTTTTGACCGCCAAAGCCACCCTCGCGCTCATCACAAATGATACGCAGTTAGTACTGCAGGTATTAGTTGGTCCGCGTAAACGATCCTATTATACAATTAGGCGCAAGTTAGCGGTGCAAAACGCCTTGAAATCTTGCCTCAGAAGAGTCATTCATTACGAAGGAAGTATTTTGCTAGACAGGAGTTGAGTGAATTATTTGGGTCTTTCAAATAGGTCTGTTTGGTAGGAAAAAGCCACAATAAGAATCATGAAACAAGAAGAATTGGGACTACGATCTGTATTCCTAGATGGTGGCAAAATGAAATCATTTTGTCAGGTAATCCACCCTCTGGATGATACGTAACGAATCATCAGAAAGACGAACGGAAGGTCCAGAAAATTCCTGACGGCGTCGGATGGTG